ACTTCCTGGAGTTCTAGTGAGAAGCAGTGACCAGTGGAGTTCAACTAGGTCTGTTGTGAGATAGTAACTCACTGAAGACAATGGTGGATGTGTCGCTCAATTTCGTGGACTGGTTAAAGGTAGACATTAAGACCGTTGGATGCCGGCTTAGTGGTCTAGTGGTTAAGCGCTCGCGCGCGGGACTGATAGGTCCTGGTTTCGAATCTCCTGAGGCGAAACTGTGGATGCGTATGGCTGAGGAGTTCCACAATAGGACGAAACGGCCGTCCGGTGCCTCCAGGTTTTCCATGGTGGTCTAGCTTCAAATGACTAATGATTTGAATTATAAAACTACTAAAATCTCGACAAACTCCCCCCCCCCTCTGATATAAGATTGTTGTTTAAAAAAATATTAACATTGATTTCCCGTTCTTGTGTTGTACTCTTATAGCATGATTTATTGATTATTACTCATAAATGCACTGTTGCATACATATGCTACTCGTTCTCATTTATCAGCTGTCTTTCTATCTTTACAGATCACACTGATATTCTTATTACATGATTAGTCTGGGTACACATCTTGAATTATATCAGTCATATTTGGAATCACAGGGGGTTTTGTGGAGAATTTTAGTATTTTCATAGTTGAAATCATGAGTCAATTGAAGCTAGACCATCATGGAAAAGCTGGAAGCACTGGACGGCCGTTTCGTCTTATTATGGAACTCCTCAGCAGTGCGCATCCACGATCCCACACTCGCGAGATTCAAACCCAGGACCTACCAGTCTCGCGCCAGAGCACTTAACCGATAGACCACTGAGTCGGCCGGCATCCAACGGTGTTAATGTCTAACTTCAACCAACCCAAGAAACTGAGCAACCGTCCGCCATTGTCTTCAGTGATTTACAGTGCTTCCAGGTTTTCCATGGTGGTTTAGCTTCAATTAACTCATGATTTCAACAATGAAAATATTTGGAATCATTGAATACTTATAATTATGGACTATGAGACTGAAAAATAGACTCGAACATATCTCCTTCTGACAACTTAAGTAACATCTCATATTTTTATTTGTATATAATTTATATTTCCGTATGTTATCAATCATCTGTAACCATTTTTTTTTGCAATAACCCTATCATTATTTTGGACTTGATTTATTTAATCCGCTACAATAGTCACGGTAACAAAATCATGAATGTCATAATACCTAGGCATATAGTGTTCATCATTATAAGTTATAATCGATTTTATAAGGTAATTGTAAATCACGACTTAACAATGTATTATAATATGAACAAAGTTTAATAACTAAACCAATTGTTTCCTTTTGTTTCATTAAATCAGAATGAAAGTATTTAAACGATTATGTGAAATTGTACCAGAAGCAATTAAAAGTAGAAGCGCAAAGAGCGACAAAAATTAACTTAAAGAGTATGTGAAGTGAAAGCGATAATCAGTCAGTCAGCTACAACGTAGGACCAGACATATATATGCATCGGTCCAAGTTACCATACCTCGTTAGCACAACAAGATAAACACCGAATTCATAGAAGTAGTTAATTTAGTGGTGGTAATACATAAAAGAAAGATCGCATATAAGGATATAGTATAGGAAGAATAAATCTGAAACTATAATGAACGTTTTTTTTGTTGTGTTCTCAGAGTTGTGCGATTTAATTGAGAAGCTTTCACTCTCGTCTTGGACATCGACAGATCTTAATCCACATAGAAGTAAGCTGTATAATTAATCTACAAGCACAAAATCAGTCTATCCTGAAAATCTTATTCGTAAATAATTACTTTTAGAGGTTATCACAACTTAATGGTAAGCGTAAGGCTTTTTTTGGTTTCGCCTCATCATCTTGTTGTAGGTAACATAAAATAAATTGATAACAACAAATTCTGCACGTCCAGACCAGGAGATTCATCTGTTGACTTGGAATACGGATATGATACAGTTCCGTTTGCGGAAGACGCTAACAAAATATAGGGTCTTCTGACCACCTTAAGTAACAATCCAAACATGTTTGGGATGCAGTTCTCTCCCTCTAAACGTAAAATGTTACTTCAGGATCGGCTTGAGTCATCACCTGAATCAGAAATAGGTAGTGTAGTTGGATGTATCGACCGTTTCATTTACAAGTCTCACCAGTACTGATGGTCTGGTGTCTAACGAAATTTCGGCACGGATTCACAAGACTCTATTGGCTATTGTCAACTTGCGTCATTTGTGAAGTAGGAGAGATATCTGTTTTTTAACCAGAGGGCAAGTTTACAGACAAGCAGTTTGCTCCTTTTTAAAAACATGACCATTAAAAGTAGAGGATATTTGTAGGTTACTAGCATTCGATAATAGATGTCTACGGAGCATTGTCAGTATACTTTGCAACCACGGAGTAAGCGATTTCTGGGTTAGGAAGAGTACCAGGTAAGGATGGAAAATCGATTAGAGGTAGTAAATCTTCACCAACTGAGGTGGTTGGGACGTGTGTAACGTATGCCCAACCACCACATACTTCAACAGGCGATGTTTTCTGGTGCAGCAGCAAGCTACAAGAAAGCTAGGGACGACCAAACCATGACATCAGTACATTAAGTCACTGACAACTGAACTTAGCCTTGTCACTAGGTAAGTATTTCCTGGATGTGGTCCACGTGATTATCGTTACCAATAGTAAGACTTTGAATGACATGGCTCAGAACCGTTTAGAATGGCACAGGTGAATTTGTTCTAGCCCCAAAATGTCCTGGTACGGCCGAGAGTGGGGAGAGTCTGCTCTCCCTCTCCAAATACTCTCATATGGCCACGCGAATATATAGCCACTGCCAGAGAAGTTCTACTCACTGCCTTCTCGTGGCGGGGGTGTTGTTCACAAAAGTGAAAACGAAAAGCGAATATCCGGTGCTGTAACCGGGTTGGAAGCGAAAAGTCCACCTAAGGGAGTTGGAAAACCCTGATTCCAAACCAATGGTGCACATGGGCTCCATTATCCTGAGGGAACAAATGGCGTATGAACCAATTGTTGGTCACCGGCTACCATGGGACTGCATATCCTCACGATGCTCCACTGCCTTTTGGATCAGATTTTTAGGTCAAGGGCTACGAGTGTGGCGCCCTAAGGAAACCACCTGTTTCGGTTTGGGCACCTGGGCAGTATCACAGCCCTCACACGAATCGAATGAGATTTGTGAGGCGCATATTTACCTGGTGCTTCCTTGTACCAATATTTGTGTTTAAATAAATCCTTCCCCCAAATGCTGAGATTCTAAATTCCTCAAAACCTTTCTCGTTTTATTCACTAATTTATATATTCTTTCCGAGTCGTAAATTCGATGCCTTATCTTCCCTATTAAGTTTTCAGAGCTCATATTTAGGCTGGATAAATACAATGACTAATAACATTTTGAATCACAACGAGTATGTGCGCAGTATAAGTCAATCATTCTCAATTTCGAGATAGAGACAAGTATACATTAGTTCAGGTTCTTTTGCAATGTCGGCACAATGATATGAGATTAACAAGATGAATGATTATAGAGTTAAAATAATTCTTTTAGCAATTATGGTGAGAAACGATGAACATTGAGTATTGTGCGAAAACGAATGTGTACAGATCAAAGAACACCGAAACTCAAGACCCAGGTAAGATGAAGTGTGTTAGCATTAAATACTAACCATTGGTTGGAAGTCGTTTATCCACGCACTCAAATAGCAATAAGGAAAAACATTACCATTGATTACCACAATCCGCACTACGCATGTAATGTTAAGCAATTGTAGGCCTTAGGAACCACTTAGCACTTTGAAGATTAATAATTACAATTATAATTCCGAACAAAGCAAACATTGTGTAGATTGTCATATCTGTAACACCCCAAAGAGTAGAACTTGTAAGACTATAAACTAGATCGAGAATAGCAGTGCATGGCATCTCAAATAATCACAAAGTCGATATTAGAAAAACATCGAGATAATGGAAGACTTGTCCGAATCCAAAGGAAAGGGAGTGACTGAACCCTCCAAAATATCGCAGTCCCACTATCTTTAGTAGAAAAGGTCGTATGACTTGGACAACCTATCCGAGATACCATGCATGATTCACATATCACACTCAGTCAGCTACAACGTAGAACCACGCACATATTTGCATAGGTCCAAGTTGCCATACCTTATTAGCAAAAGATGAACACCGAATTCACACTATTTTCACACACACAAATTCAACTTCATCTTTTCACATATAAATACATAAGCACGTCTCACATAAGTTATCTTGACAGGGATGACATGGCACGGTCACGGGATGTCAAAAGACTCGATTTCCCTGCTCTTTGGGACATTACAAGTATATCATTTCCATTTGGGTAGAGCGTTGGCTCGTTAATACACCAAGACTGAGAACACGAGAAACAGCAGCAAAAACACGCTGTTGACGAAGTAATACTACTTGGTAACCCGAAAGGAATAAAAGAGTGGGCTTAACCCAATGCGTGAATCGGCTCAAAATCACACGCATATTTATTTTATAAAATAAATAAAACACATACGTAGGAAGCCAACGGTGTCCCGGCGGCGTACAAACAAGTCTTGACGGTAACTGCCAAACATAACCACCTTCGATGAGCTGTTGACCAACTCGTCCTAATACTTTGCAGCTAACGCATTAAGCGCACCCCCATCTAGTGAGGAAGGTATTTCTACGACTCGAAAACCTTGCAGCGTGATCGGACAGTGAAACAAGTACCGTACACAGCTAAGCTTACAATATACATAACAATTACATGTACACACCTCTCGATCCAAGGAATTTGACTCCGCAACCCACACAGTGAGCGATGACACCTCAGTTAATGAGCCACTCTGGACACTCGAGCATAACATGGACCGAAGAACTCGTTTGTTAAGTTACCAGGCAGGAATATATTTGTTAGAAAATGACAACATATAAATGAGGAATCGGAGACAAGTTAAAGCTTGGTAGCTCAATAGTTTAACACGTTTTGGTGGAACGTTTTATATAGCATCTATGTCCACATCGTCATCTTCATCATCCGTTACATTAGTAGCAGGAACACTGGCGTTGTTTGACCCATTAATAGGTTGAGTGATCTAAGAGCAAATCAGTTAATTTAAAAAGGACATACTGTATGGCCATTTGTTTCAGACTCCTCCTCAGAACTTTCTGACTCTTCCTCTTCAGCTTGTCGCAACCATGTCACCATAGGAGAGCAACGAGCCAGTATTTTCGCACTCAGCTCGCGAGATACGAATTTTTTTGAAGGCTATAATTTAATATAACTTCAATAAAGCACTTACTCCTTTGTCGTACCAACCCAAAATAACGTCTTCCTCAATAACGTCGCAGTCGTACAACGTTTTAAGAAGATGACATGCCTTATCTACTAGATTTTGATCTGAATGTCTCTCAATAAGCTTCGCCATGGCACCCCATGTATATATTTGGGCTCGTTTCTGATCTTCACCCGATCGAGTAAACAAGAGTAATAATGGGGAGTATTTCTTTATATCAGTCAGTATAGTAGAGGGATTATTAAACAACACCTCTGCGATAACCAACACAGCACGTGGGCCAAGACTTAGGCGGTCCGCTTCCAGTTTCACTTCCTTACGATTTGCCAAGACTTTATCACATTTATGCATCTGTGACAAGTGTTTGTAAAAAATATCCGCTCTTTCGGTTTCAGAGCGCTCTACGTCGTCGCACAGAGCAAGAGACTTTGCCATAGCCGATAAAGTGTTGATCCTCTGGCGTCGCGCCTCCTCAGTAGTGTCTTCTAACCAGTCGTCATCCTCATCATCTTCATCAGCATTAACAGGACTGTTGCGACTATTTTCGTCTCCATTAGGGTTTGCATCATTATCGTCATCTGACAGTAACGGTCTGTTATTTCACTTACCTTCATTATCACCTTTCGTTTTCTTTCCTTTCTTTTGCTTCGATTTCGCCGGAGTAGCTTCTGGTTCTGGAGGGTTTTTGACAATATACTGGGTCAGCCTGTGAGTAACGTCCAGTTGTCCCTGACTTCCACATGCTTTACATGTTGTAGCAACTGTACCTCCTCGTTTGTTGACGTGCTATTAAAAATAGAATAGCTTTTTAACAGAACTAACCATGGTAGTCTCCGGATTCCCGCAGCTTTGGCACAACACAAACTTCTTAATGAAGCCATCTAATAGTTCCTGCAATTTATCTGCTTGATGAGCACCATTAACGATGTAGCGTTCATTCTTCTCGTCTACATGGATTTGAGCTCCTAGCTCGCACCCAAAGAACTTAGTGAGATCTAAAGCTGTTTAGAGAGTCAAATAAACATACAAATGGGTTTTCGGTACAATGCTTTGGCGATATCTGACACATTTACGATGACTGTTTTAATACCATTCCCTTTACCCTCTACCTACACAGGTCTCAATACAAAGTTAAAACCATACCTTGGCAGTAAGTTTCGGCATTTTATACCTGTAAAAGGTATCTTCAACCTCTCGATTGATGTTGATAGCCATTTTCGATGACACCAACTACCATCTGCCTGTGGATGATTACAGCCTTCAACCATGAAACAGGATGGGCACCCAGTCTATCCATATCAATTAGTACGCTAGACGACTTTAAACAGACTTACAATCTAACTTGGAATTAGGATCCAAAGAAAGACAACGCCAAGATTACGGGTCTGACGCAACGGATGACTGCACATTAAAACAACGGAAGTGGGACGGCAGTATTCAATAAATTATAGTTAATAGTATAAAAATAAAATACCAACTGTTCAGAAACTGAATGTTTTTAAATTTATGTATTAGGCACTTTCGTTCGAGAGAACTACACTTTTCTCCCTATTCAAATACGAAATAATAGAGGTGGGTTATCAAAATGACTGACTAGGAATGGCTCAAATGGTTCAAATGGTTGTGGACGGAAGAGAAGGAGCTTTCGTTTAACGGGCCCCCGTATCTAGTAGTACGGATTCAACGACACCTCCAGGCAGGAACCTAGGTATAATAAAGATCAAAGAGGAGAAAGTAGTTGGTAAATCATAGCACGATACTATCTTTAGACCTTAAGAATATGTCAAGTTTTCTCTTAAACGACTCATGGGAAGCCGCTTGGACTGGCTCAGTCTGCAGAGATTTCCATCATTTAACCACTCTTCGGGAGTAAAAGGTATGTCTACAATCCGTTCTGCTGCGTTGTGTCTCCATTTTCCGGGTTCAAATGGTTCAAATGGTTGAGGACGGAATAGAAGAAGCTTTCACTTAACGGGCTTCCGTGTCTAGTAGCAGTGGATCACCAATACCTCCAGGCAAAAACCTAGGTATATGAACGATAATAGAGGAAAAAAGAATTTGGTAAATCATAATAATATGTTATCCTTAGTCCTTAAGAATAAGTCAAGTTTCCTCTTAAAAGACTCCTGGGAGGTCGCTTGGACTAGCTCAGTCGGCAGCGAATTCCAGCACTTGACAACCCTAACGGAGTAGAAGTTGTGTTTGCAGTCTGTTCTGCTATATAGGGTCTCCAATTCCTGGGTGTTACTTCTTAGGTTAGTGTTATGAATAAACTTAAGATGTTTAAGGGGGTGACCGGAAGTATTAAGGATACTGTAAGTCATAAGAAGGTCACCTCTAAGACGCCTGTACTCTAACGGATAAAGGATAAGTGATTTGAGGCGCTCTTCATAAGGTTTGAATTTGAGTCCCCGAACTGATTTCGTGGCTCGACGTTGTATACGTTCCAGAGTGTCCTTATCCTTTTGAAGGGAAGGAGGAAATACTATGGTTCCGTACTCTAAATGGGGACGAATAAAACTGTTGAAGATTATATGGAAGGTTCTACCGTCAAACTGGCCAAAAATGCGCTTCAATGTTACCAGTGCAAGGTTTGCTTGAGAGGCGTTTTTGTCACAGTTCGCATACGATTTCAGGTCATAGGGTACCAACACTCCTAAATCTTTTTCAACTTGGGAAACTTCTAGAGTTGAGTTACCTAAGTTATAACTATAGTCTGCAACATGTCTCAGATGGACTACTTTGCACTTTGAAGTGTTGAAGGTAAGTCCGTTGTCGTCTGCCCAACTTTGAAGTCGGGTCAGATCCTCCTGAAGAACTAGTATATCATTATGATTACATATCTCTCTCCAAAGTTTCATATCATCAGCAAAAAGCAATAAGTCAGATGAAACTTGTTGAGGAAGATCGTTAATGTAAATCAAGAAGAGAAGAGGTTCTAGTATTGAGTCCTTGGGGACCCCACTAGGACATTCCATAGCCTGAGAGAGAGTGAAGTTCACCCTGGCCTTAAAATGTCGGTTTTCTAGATATGAAGTCAGCCAGTCAATCAAAGGGGGTTTTATACCGAGTCGTCTAAGCTTCTTGATAAGACATACGTGGTTGACCCTATCAAAAGCTTTTGAGAAGTCCAGGTAGATGACGTCAACCTTCCCCTTGCGATCAAGGACGGTTGTCCGTCTATCCACCGCAGTCTGCAGGTTGGTCATACAAGAATGACCTTTTCTGAAACCATGCTGTTGAGGTGAGAAGAACTTTGAGGATGATAAGTATTCTAGTATACCGTCGTATACTAGGAATTCCATAATTTTAGAAGGTATGGAGAGAAGGGTCACTGGTCGGTAGCTTGAGGGTTCACAGCGTGTGTGATGTGTGATGTGGGCCAGCTTCCAAATTTTCGGTAGTTTGCCTCTGCTTAGCGAGTGTGCAAACATCACGCTAAGTAGTGTCGCCAGGATTAAAGCTGCTTCCCTCAATACAGAGGAATGAACCATATCCGGACCAGGAGAAGTGTCTTTTCTCAGGTGCTGCAGTTTACGGAGCACCAGGTCAGCACTCAGATCCACTTCGGAAAGTCCTGTACAGGTGCAGGTGAAGCTTTCGTCAGTATAGTTGATGTGGGTCAGCTGGAATGTCTGGGAGTATTGTTTAGCCAAAAGGTTGGCGGCATCACCGTCGTTATTGGTCGGGCCATTGGGACCAAGCAATTGGGAAACTCCAGTTTTGCCTTGTCAAAGAGAAGCTGCGTAACTGAATAAGCTTTTCGGATTGGAGACGAATTTATAAGCTTGGTCTGGAACTGAAGCCTGTCTTCTCTTATTGCCTTTGAACGTATGTTCCTTATGCGTCAATATTGCCTGTATGCTTCGTTATTGTCGGTTCGTTTATATTCGGCCCAACAGTGCCTTTTGCGGCTTAGCAAACGACGAGTGCGGTTCTTGATTCCTGTTTTTCTGTCGTTGTGAAATAAAGACATCCCAGTTATTGCGAGCTCCTGGTCCGTAAACTGAGACGTTATCCAAGTTTCGGATATTCCTATCAGATGGGCATCATTAGCGTTGCTAAGTTCACGTAGCTCATCCATTTTGTTTGGCAAGCTCGCGGCGTTCGTGTATAGGCAATTTATGTTTTCAATTTAGAACGCGTGAGCTTCTTCCTGTTTGTCTATATGAGCCGTGCGTGAGTGGACAGGTAGCCTACCTATACGATGTTTACCGAGTTGGTAGTCCCTGTCCTTTAAACGTTTTTTTATGATCAAGACAGTCCACGAGTGGAATTGTCAGCCCCAGCTTTCGTTTGTGCTTGATTCTGCTGTCGTGGGGCCTATCCGGATGCATATGGATGCCATTTGGCAACCGACGTCTATTGGCACGAAATGCTTCCAGAGTTGCAGCCGCCATGTGGGAGGAGGGGAAGGTTATCTTCAATAGCCGGGGCCTAGAGTCTCCGTCTCTCTTGGCTAGTTGCATTACCTGTTGGGTCAATATGTTCTTAAGTTTTAAGTAATGCTTGATGAATTCCCATTCCCGAATATCAGAGTTTGCTTGAGTTGGGTCCATATTTTCGCGGTACACCTTGCACAATGATATTTCGTCCACGGAAAAACGCCTCGCGAGATTCCTTAAGGATGTTACCCCTTAGATTTGTGTTGGAACTAAACCTGAGTGGGAGTTTAAAGGGATGACCAGGAGTGTTAAGGATACTGTAAGCAACTAGAGGGTCACCCCTTAAACTCCTTTACTCTAATGGGTAAAGATTTAGTGATCGCAAGCGCTCCTCATGAGGCTTGAATTTGAGTCCCCGGACTGATTTCATGGCTTGCCATTGGATACGCTCCAGAATGTCCTTATCCTTTTGGAGAGAGGGAGGAAATACTATATTTCCGTACTCTAAGTGTGGACGAATAAAAATGCCGAAGATTATTTGATTATTTCAAGATTATTTTAAACTGGCTAAAAACGCGCTCCAATGTTTATCTGCCCAACATTGAATTCGAGTTAGATCCTCTTGAAGTGACAGTATATCCTCTTGGGTGCGTACCTATCTCCAAAGTTTCACATCATCAGAACGAAGTGATAAGTGAAAGATGCCTGTCGTGGAAGATGGTTTATATTAATCAAGAAAAGAAGAGGTCCCAGTACAGTACAGTAAATCCCATAGACTGAGAGAAGTGAATTTAACCCTGACCTTAAAATGTCGATCTTTTAGATATGAAGTGAGCAAGTCAATTAGAGGTGGTTTGGTACCCAATCGTCTGAGCTTATTGATGAGACATATATGGTTGACCATATCAAAAGCCTTTGAGAAGCCAAGGTTAATGATGTCAACCTTCCCCTTGCGATCAAGGATGGTTGTCCATCTGTCCATCTCAGTCAGCAGGTTGATTAAACGAGAATGACCCTTCTTGAAACCGTGCTGTTGGGATGAAAAGAAGTCTAAAGATAGCAATTAGCTGTGCATACCGTCGCATATCATAGACTCAATAATTTTTGAAGGCATAGAGAGAAGAGACGATGGGCGGTAGCTTGAGGGTTCACAGCGTCGACCTCCTTTGAAAATTGGTGTGATGTGAGCCAGCTTCCAAATTTCCGGTTATGTGCCTCGGCTGAGCGTGAGGAAATCACTCTAATTGGTGTTGCCAAGATTGAAGCTGCGTCCCTCAGTATAGCAGAATGAACCATGTCCGGACCAGGAGAAGTGTCTTTTCTTAGGTGCTGCAGTTTTTAGAACACCAAGTCGGCGCTCAGGTTAACTTTGGAAAGTGCTGTGCAGTTGCGAATGAAGCTTTTATCAGCATTATTTGTTCATTTATTTGAACACACAAGTATTGGTACAAGGAGGCACCAAAGATATATGTGCCACACAAAACATTGTCATTTCATTAAATTGTGTAAGGGCTAGGATGCTGCCCAGGCCCCCAGACTGAGGTATGTGGTTTTCTTAGGGGCCATACCCGGAGCATTTGTCCTGAAGGAGTAATCAATAAAGCAGTGGAACGTTGTGAGGAGATGCAGTCACGTAGTAGCCGGTGACCAACAATTGGTTCATACGCCATTTGTTCCCTCACGGTACTGGAGCCCATGTGCACCATTGGTTTGGAATCAGGGTTTTCTAACTCCCCTACGTGGACTTTTCGCTTCCACCAACCGGGTTAAAGCACCGGACAGTCACTTTTCATCCTCTCAATTTCGTAAACAATACCGGTGCCACGAGAA